CAGCTTGTTTCTTGGGTCCATTTGATTGGAAAATCTTTTCCTAACTCTTTACTCTGAGGTAACGCCTATCCTTGAAGTTAAGGTATGTTTCTTATATACAGCAGAAAGATGGATTCTGTCTTCGTATTCATTTTGTTACCCTGTATCTTCTTATGGACACGTTAAGACCATTGACATTGAGGGATATTAATGTTCATTGATTGTTTGTTTTTATTTGTTTTAGATTTATTATTGGTGGTGTCATTGTGTGTAGATTTCGCCCTCCTGTTTCTTTTCGTGTTTGGGAGAATTGGATTATCTATTGCCTATGTTTTTGTGAGTTTAGTTATCTTCGTTGGGGTGGAGTTTTCCTTCTAGAACTTTCTGTAGTGCTGGATTTGTGGATATGTATTGTTTAAGTCTTGTTTTGTCATGGAATATCTTGTTTTCTCCATCTATACTGATTGAAACTTTTGCTGAGTACAGCATTCTGAGTTGGCATCCATGCTCCCTTAATGTTTGTAGGATATCTATCCAGGACCTTCTGGCTTTTAAAGTTTCCATTGAGAAGTCAGGTGTGATTCTGATAGGTCTGCCTTTATATGTCACTTGGCCTTTTTCCTTTGCTGCTCTTAATATTTTCTCTTTATTCTGAAGGCTTGGTGTTTGATTACTATGTGTCGAGGGGACTTCTTTTTGTGGTCCAGTCTATTTGGTGTTCTGTAAGCTTTTTGTACTTTCATAGGCATATCCTTCTGTAGGTTGGGGAAGTTTTTGTCTATGATTTTGTTGAATATGTTTTCTGTACCTTTGAGCTGTATTTCTTCACTTTCTTCTATACCTGTTATACTTAGGTTCAGCCTTTTCACAGTGTTCCATATTTCCTGGATATTTTGTGTTAAGGATTTGTTGGACTTGAGATTTTTCTTTGGTCAATGACTGTATGTCCTCTAGAGAGTCTTCAACAACTGAGATTCTCTCTTCCATCTCTTGAATTCTATTGGTTATACTCACATCTTTAGTTCCTGATTGTTTATCCAGCCTTTCTATTTCCAGCATCACCTCATTCTGTGTTTTCTTTATTATTTCTATTTCAGCTTTCATGCCTTGAACTGTTTCTATTTCTTTAAGGGATTTTCTTGTTTCATCTTTAAAGGACTCTATCATCTTCCTAAGATAATTTTTGAGGTCCATCTCTTCTTCATGCTCTGTGTTGGGCTTTTCAGATCTTGCTGGTGTGGAGTCCCTAGATTCTGGTGGTGTCATATTGATTTTTCTGTTGTTGAGTGTGTTCTTACTCTGTCTTCTACCCATCCCTTCTTCCAGTGAGCGCAGGTGGGGTCTCTCCCTCTCTCAGGTGGCTGGAGGAGGGCTCAGCCTCTGGTGGCAGCGGGATGGTAGAGGGTGGTCAGTGGACAAGGGTGCAGTGTGTCCGGACTCAGGGTGGGCCTTCTGTTCTGGGCAGGTCCACTCTTGTCCGGATGGGCTCAGGCAGAAGCCAGCAGATGTTGATGGAGGAGGTTAGGGGGTGGGCCAAGCAGCGCCCAGACTCAACTGAGGCTAGGGCAGCCGATGCAGGACAGAGGGCAGAGTGTCACCATTTTTTTTTTTTTTTTAAAATGGCATTGAATGTATCTCAGGCTGGCCCGGAACTCGATGCATAACGGAGGATGATCAACTTCTGATCTTCCTGTCCCTCCTTATCCGAGTTAGGATTACAGTGGTGTGCTAGCACGCCCAAGTATGCGGTGCTAGACGCTAAACCCAGGGCTTCGTGCATACTAGGCAAACTTTACTGAGTACATCCTCAATCCGCTTTCTATTTTTATTTACATTGCAGCTGGATATGCATGGCCGGATGGGATAATCAAGTTGCTTTTATCTTATCAAGATCGACATTAATGTATTAGCCTCCTCTCTCTCTCTCTCTCTCTCTCTCTCTCTCTCTCTCTCTTCTTTTGTAGCTCTGGTTGGCTTAAGCTCTTGATCCTCCTGCCTCAGCTACCTAAATGCTGGAACTGAAATTACAGGTATGTGCTACCACATCTGGCTGCATCTCCCCCAGCTACATCCCGTGTGTGTGTGTGTGTGTGTGTGTGTGTGTGTGTGTGTGTGTAGGACATGCACCTGCCATAAGGAATGTATGGCAGTCAAAAGACAACCTGTGTGAGTCAGTTTTGTCCTTTTACACTGTGGGTTCTGGGGAATGAACTCAGACCCCCAGGCTTGGCAGCAAGCGCTTTCAGAAACTGCTGAGCCATCTCTCCAACCCCAATTCCGTGTGTTTTCTTTTTGCAAGTCAGTTGTAACATGAGTGTACTTTAACACTGCAGGGTCTGCCTTGGCTTGTGAGATCGTCATAATAACATTACCTTTTAACTCTCTGGGACAAAATCTAGGGTTTGTGTTTCCCTAACTCTGCAGATTTGTGACTTAGCTGGAAAATTGCATTTCATTCAGACATTCTCTAATGCTTGGAGGTATTGCAATAAATAGCTGTGAAAATGCAGAGCACACCCATCCCGGCTCTTATTAGGTGTGTAACATTCCTCAATGAAAGTAATATCCCAGAGTAATTTGGTTATTAAGGCGGTAATTGCATATCTTGTCCTGGTTATGAAGTTACCTTTTGCAAACACTCCACCCCCTCCATTTTAATAGCCGTATCAAGAAAGGTGTCTAATGAATTTTCTTTGAAGAAATTGCCTGAACTACATTTGTTCTTCTATCTGATTTTACCATTATGCTGAAGGGTTGATAGCAAAGTCTTGTCCTTGGGGCTCATGAGCCCAAAAATTTCACATAAATATTTGATAAACTGAGTCTTCTTAAGTCACATCTAGGAGGACATATTGTAATTGCCATTCTGTAGGTGGTAGAATTAAATAGTTGATTAAATAAAAATTTCCCTTAGGGGCTGGATGTACAGCTCAGTAGAGGTCTTGTCTAGCACGTATAGGCCTTGGATTTCATTCCCAGCACTATAGAAACACGTATTTTCTTTGTACTATCTTTTAAATTTTTTCAGCAATGAATAATATACTATTGTTTTCTTTCTTTTTCTAAATGTTTTCTTTCTTTTTCTCTTTCTATTTTCTACTTTTTTCTACTCTTTGCAGCCTTGGCTGGCCTGGAACTCACTCTGTAAACCAGGCTGGCCTCAAACTCATAGATCTGCCTGCCTCCATCTCCTGAATGCTGGGGATTATTGTGTATTTTGAAAACATTATCATGAGAAGATGTAGTGGCATCTTGCTTTGCCAGTGAACTTTCAATGGTGGCCACATCCTAGGGGCATGGCTTCAGGGTTCAGATGTGACCCCTCATAAGGTAGAGGAGGGGTGGGCTCACTCTCTTGAGTTGTGGTGAGAGCATCAGAAAGGCAGAGACTGTGTCTTCTGGAACAGAAAGAGCATCCCTAATAAATATCTAATTATTAATAATAAATATCTAATTATCTTGGGTCTTGTGGACTCATTTAAACCCCACTTTCAAGAAGATGGATTCAGCATCCTACCTGTTTGAATCTAGTTGATCACAGAAATCCAGCGTAATTTTTTTCTCCATTTTTTATTTGAATTAGAAACAAGATTGTTTTACCTGTCAGTCCCAGTTCCCTCACCCTCCTCTCCTCCCCTGTCCACCTCAGCTAATACCTTACCTATCCCATACCCTTTCTGCTCCCCAGGGAGGCTGAGGCCTTCTGTAGGGGGTCTTAAGAGTCTGTCATATCCTTTGGGATAGGGCCTAGGCCCACACCCCCTTGTGTCTAGGTTCAGGGAGTATATCTTTATGTGGAATGGGCTCCTAAAGTCCATTCCAATGCTAGGGATAAGTACTGATCTACTACAAGAGGCCCCATAGATTTCTGAGGTCTCTTCACTGACACCCACGTTCACAGCATAAATTTTTTTAATCCCATGAATGCATGTAAAATTTTTATCTTGGCCTGGTAATATACTTTTGCTGTATCAATGAGAAAATTATTAATACATATATAGAGATTAAAAGAAATAGCCATCTCTCTGCAGCCAATTAAGATGACCAGGTTGCTTTCCTCATTGGGGCCTGATGGGCTATGGCTGCAAACAGCAGCCTCCATGATGGTGCACACAGTCTGCTGCCAGTATGAATTGCCCTAAGGGCAATTTCTATTAAGATAACTTTCTACTGGATATTCATGTCTCTGATCTCAATGCTGTCATGAGCCCAGGTTCCAAACAGTTACTTGAGCTGCCTTTGGGAAGCTCCAGGGCACAGTGGCCAGGGTACCTATTGGCCAGGTCATTATGTTCATGCACACCAAGTTGCAGAATAAAAAACATGTGGTCAAAGCCTCTCACAGAGCCAAGTTCAACTTCCCTGCCTGACAGAAGCCACAACTCAAAGAAGTGAGGCTTCATTGGTTTTAATGCAGATGACTCAGAGTAACTGGCTCACACCTGATGTCTGTGGGGTCAAATATATCCCCAGTCATGATTCCCTGGGCAAATGGTGGGCCCCAGACTGCTGAGGGCTTCTACTGTGTTGCCCTACTCCACACTAAATCATGCTCAGTAATAAAGCTCATATCCGATCTAAGGAAACCCATCGGTCCTCAAGTTGTTGTCTTCACCATTTCTGATCATACCTCTCTAGCCATGACAAGCACCTGCTTAGCTATTAGATATGTTTATTCTAAGAATATGTTGGGGATACTCAATACTCATCACAGGGCACAAAATCCTCTCCTTATTCTTAGCAACAGGAGCTTTTACCTTTATCCCAAGAAACAGGTTTGTTTTTGCCTCATTTTGCAATGATTTGGGTATCAGGTTGAATTCCCTTCATGGCATGAAATTTCATAGTAGCCTCACTTTCCATTTTGCCTAATTTTGTAACATAATTTTCCTTTGTTCCAACTTCATTACCAACTTTTTGTTATAACCAACTTATTTTATTTTTTTATTTTTGCACTACTGGCATTGAAACAAGAGCACATATTAGGCAAATGTTCTACCCCTGAGCTGTATCCCCGACCCACTATCTTATTTTACATTTTATTCTATCCTGTATATGTTTTTTGTAAAATTCCATGAATTTGTTTTTCTGCATTGGTGCATTCTGATTTGCTGTTTTGCCTGCATGTTTGTCTGTGTGAGGGTGCCAGATTCCCTGGAACAGGAGTTACAGACAGTTGTGAGCTACGATGTGGGTGCTGGAAATTGAACCCATGTCCTCTGGAAGAGCAGTCAGTGCTCTTAACTACTGAGCCATCTCTTCAACCCAAATACCTTGAATTTTTGTAAGGCCCCTGAAATATATTTTTCAAGAAGGGGTAAAAGTAGATAGCAGACACACACAGACACACACACAGACACAGATTTTTTTTTTTTTTTTTGCTGTTAATTCACCTTAAGTTTACCTAGGACAATTCCATTAGCCCAATTCTTCTAAAATTATCTTTATCCTGTTCTTTCCCTCTTTTCCGTTTCATTTCGTGCATATGTGTATGCTTGTGTCTACTTGGGTACATGTATGTGTTGGGGTGCATGTGTGCATGCGAGTGTGAAGGACAGAGGACAACCTTGGGTGTTGCTTAGGTATGCTGTCTAACTTTTTTGAGGCACAATCTGTCTTAGTCAGGGTTTCTATTGCTGTGATGAAACACCATGACCAAAAAGCAAGTTGGGGAGGAAAGGGTTTACCTTACATTTCCATATTGCTGTTCATCATTGAAGGAAGTCAGGACATGATCTTAAACAGGGCAGGAACCTGGAGGTGGGAGCTGATACAGAGACCATGGAGGGATGCTGGTTACTGGCTTCCTCTTCATGGCTTGCTCAGCTTGCTTTCTTATAAAACACAGAACCATCAGCCCAGGGATGGCCCCACCCACAATGGGTTGGACCTTCTTCCATCACTAACTAATTAAGAAAATGCCTTACAGATGTATTTTATGGAGACATTTTCTCAACTGAGGTTCCCTCCTTTCAGATAATTCTAGTTTGTGTGTCAGGTTGACATAAAACTAGCCAGTACAGTATCTCATACTGGCCTAGAATTCATGGCAGTAGGTTGGACTGGATGTCCAGAAAGCCCCAGGGATTGATCTGCCTGTCTCCATCTCCCCAGTGCTGGGATTACACCATGCTTGGCTTTTAACATGGGTTCTGGAGATGGAACTTAGCCCCTCATGCTTGCACAGTGTCCTGCTAGTTTTATATCAACTTGAACCAAGTTAGAGTCATCTAAAAGGAGGAAACCTCACTGAAAAAAATGCCTCAATAAGATCCAGTTGTAGAACATTTTCTTAATTAGTTACTGATGGGAAGGGTACAATCCATTGTGGGTGGTGCTATCCCTGGGCTGGTGGTCCTGGGTTCTATAAGAAAGCAGGCTGAGCAAGCCAAGGGGAAGCAAGCCAGTAAATAGCATCCCTTGATGGCCTCTGCATCAGCTCCTGACTCCAGGTTCCAGCCCTGCTTGAGTTCCTGTCATGACTTCCTTCAATGATGGACTACAATATGGAAGTATAAGGCAAATAAACCCTTTTGGTCATTGTGTTCATCACAGCACTAGAAACCTTCACTAGGACAGTAAACACTTTACCAACTAAGCCATTTCCTAAGCACTTGCCCTTCCTATCTTGAAGACTTCTAGTTGTTCTCTATCCTGTCCAAACTCTGGGCAGCCCTCCTTATTCTAATACCTTTGGATTTCTGTGATAACTCAACAGAATCTTAGAGTTCTGGCAAATTTAGGCACCCAAGAGTGGTGCTGTTTATGTGTTGGTTAAAGATGATATAGTCATCTCAACTGGTTCTTTGATGGCATGCCTAGCCTCTGAAGAAACTTTGAAAAGGCCAACACTATTAAGGCATTCATTTCACTCCCTCCAAGGTGGGGAAAAAGAAGAAGACGAGACAGAAATAATGTGAGAGCCAGAGAAAGGGGTGGGGTATTGTGGAACACTGTCTTCTGGGCATGACATAGCTGTGACACTTCTCAATGGAAGAAGTGATATCCTGCACAAGACTGATCATCAACAATCTGCCACAGGGGAAGGGGACAATAAGGCCCTGCCATTTCTTGAGGATCTAGAGGCAGTTAATGGTTGCTGGGAAAGACAGACAGTTTCTTCAGTGGTGTAGCCACTGGTAAGGTGCTCACACTCCTGTTTAACTCACACAAGAAACCACACAAAAGTACAATAGGAACTAGCTAGGAAGAGGAAGAGGATCAGTGGGAGGAGGAGGGAGACAAGAGAGGGCAAGAGGGAGCATACATGAGAAAAATACATTATATGGCACATGGAATATCATAATGAAGCCAACTGTTAATTATAATTGATATATGCTCATAAAATATTTTTGCTTATTATTTGTTTGGTTTTGTCTGGATCAGACTTAGAAGTAGGTACTTTAGGTGAGGCCAGCCTATATCTCTTAACAATCTATTTGTTCCTGGCATTTTCGAGTGTATTCTAAAGTTTGGCCAAAAGGTTAGCATATTCTACAGCCTTCTCCTTATTTTTATTAGTGCATTGTCCCTTCTGAGCAATTTATCCACATTTGTGTTACAGGATACATGGGATGACAAGATGCCAAAGTATTGGTGCTTTGGTCCTGGACTTCTTACCTTCCTTGTTTAAGGGCTTTCTAACAACATATTGGTAGACATTACCTTCTTTAGAGATATTGAAAAGCTTTTAGATTCCGCTAGCTCCTTAGGGCTCCAACTGCCTGGGCACAGTAGTATCTGTCAGTCCAGTAATAAATTTCTTTCCTTTTATTTTTTTTTTTACAATAACAAGTTGAGAACACTGAGATTTTCACCCACAATGCGCCCATGAATAGACTTGCACTTCCTCTCTCCCGTTTTTTCTTCTTGATCTATAACAAAAATGCCCCTTATTCAACAGCAGACACTTCACTGTGGGTCAAGATGCCATGTTTTATGAAAACAAAACAAAACAAAACCTGTTTATCATTCCCATCATTGGTTTGGACCACACAATCCTTCCACTCTCACCCAGAGCATCAGCAGCTACTTCTGTGGCCATGATTATATAGAAGAGGCTTTTGTTCATTGTCCTCTTCAGTTTCTGACAGCCAGTAGCTAGGAAGGAGATACTCAGCTTCATCTTGACATGGCTGACTGCCTAGGAGGTCTCTCTCTCTCTCTCTCTCTCTCTCTCTCTCTCTCTCTCTCTTTCTCTCTCTCTCTCTCTCACACACACTCATATACACAAAAGAGCTTAAAATATTTTTGAAAGTGAAAATATTAAGAGTGAATGTGTCTTGTTTCTAATTCAAATAAAAAAAATCTGCAAAAAAAGAACTTTTCAACAGAAAAAAAAAGAATTACATTCACAAAATCCAGTCCATTTGTATTTGGCATATTGGGAGAAAATACTCTATTAACAGTCTATCTCATCTTGATGAATTTAAAGTTGTATACCTAAATCATTGTCTATCATAACTTGTATTAACATCTTAAAACTATCTTTTTAGACCTCAAAACATTTTCTTAGATAAACGATTTAAGCTTAAAAAAAAAAAAAGAGTGAATGTGTGCACAGTATCAAGACACACCGTCATGCCTTTGATAAACCCTCAGTTTTTGGGAGAAAGGATCGATACACAGCAGGATTAATGCTAAGCACTCGGGTCCTCATCCCATATAAAGTTTGGAAGTAGGTATTGGATTTGGAGCTTCAATGGCCCCTAATAGGTTACGTGTTGGAGGCTTGTTTTCCAGCAGATGCTGCTGCCAGGAGGGTGAAGACCTTTCAGGAGGGGGTGCCCAGTAGAAGAAAGCAGAGGTTGACGGAGGTGGGAGTATGACCCTGAAGGGGATAAAAGGTCCCTGGTCATTATGAAGTGAACAACCCTGCTCCTCCCACCACGATGCCTTTCCTCACTGAATCACACCCATCTACACCCAAAATAGAGCCAAGCTACTGTGGACTGAAACCGTGACTTAAAATAAACCTTTCTCCTTTAGCTTAATTTTGTCAAGTGGAACAGCATAACGCTAAAACAGTAGTCTCAGTGAACAATTGTGTTACTAAGTATGTGTGAAATATATTAATCTTTCCCATGTAATGAAATAGAAATAAGACACCATTAAGTTGGGGCTGGAGATATGGTTCAGCCAGTAATGTGCCTGCCACATAA